CCCCCCTTTTTTTAAAAAAAAAACAACCCAAAAAACCCAAAACAACCCAACAAAAAACTTCACGACATTGTGCAACTGCATATCCTTTCTAGAAATACTAAAATGGAAAACCCTCCCCTGAACTCAATTAGCTATTGATAGACGAGTGCACAGATCTGTCAAACAACTTCATTTGCAATGCAGCAGGGCTTGGAGGGCTTAGCTGACAGAGGGGTGTCCCACTGCGCAATGTAGAGCTGCTCAGACACAAAGGAAGAGGCCATTTCTCCCTCCACGTTAACAATATGAATGAGAGGTGATGGATGGAAGAAAAAAGTGTTATTCTTTTTTTTACAAATTGGGATCTGAAACAGCCAGTCGTTTGGCATGTTTATTTTCAGCAGCAGAATGTGCTGAAGCAGGTTGTGGTCAGTAATTTCTATCTTTATATTGCAACTGCCGTTTTGCAGTGCAAACATTTGTTGTGTTGTGTGATGGACTATATTGGTGAACCAATCCAGGCTAGAAATAACCACCAAAAAAAAGTAATAATGCTTGAGATGCCCTTGTCAGCAAAAGAAATGCTTGCCAAACTATATATGCACTTAAGATAAAGTGTCTTTGCCAGAGTTACAGTAGAAATCTGCAGCAGAATTGAGAACTGAAGTGGGTTTCACCTTAGAGTCTACTGTTCTGACAAGCAGTTTTAATTTTCTTCTTACTGAATTTTAAAAAATACAGTGAGAGATATACTGCAGTACTGTGAAAAGGAGCTTGTCCACTAGCCCTAGTAAGACTGAACTGGAGACAGGAAACCTAAGGACAAAGTAATAGGAAATTTTAGGAAATCCAGATTTGTATTTGCAGTTCAGGAGTGCCTGTATTTTATTTATGAAGCTGTGCTGCCTGTTTATCCTCTGCATTCTCCCATCACTTCTCTTGTGCTGCTAATGCAAATGTATGCAAGATTAGGCAAATCCTGGCAGCCAGTTGATGAAAAGGAAGAAAGGCTTTGCCAGGAGAGCAATTAGTCTCATTTTTGTTCTTTCATTTTTTTGTTATTAGATATTTTCTCTTGCTATTTCTGAGGAGAAATTATTTGGCAGACAAGTGGATCATCATAGGCCATTCCTGTGCCCACTGTGACTAGCGCAGCAGGCAGGGTGGCCTTTTATACTGGAGTGCATCGCTGATCAGCTGGAGATCACACAGTAGTAACTGGACTATAACTTTTAGAAGGGAAATCTGTGGACATTTCTATAATCAAAAGTCCTGCCATATTGCCTCTTCCTCTACTTAAACCTTCTTGCTTTAAAATGCAAGAAATAGCTCTCAACATTCTTCAAGAAATTCCCTTCCTGCTCAGCAGCAGCAGCAGTGCAGGGTGTAACCTACGCCTTCTCGTTTCTCTAGCACCTCCAACCGCCCGTTTGCTTCTGTAATTCCCAGCTGCTCGTTCCCGTTTGGCGCTGTCCTCCTCGCTGTTCTCCCTGTGTGTTTCTGTGGCCTGGATTGCAAACCAAACCTGTTTGAAAAGACAATATAATTTCTCACCCCTGTCCCCCCCTGCCCCCCATTTATTTCTAACTTAATTGGGATCCCAGGTCTTACCTGGCTTGCCACTAGGTGTGCACCACAGATCCTTGTGTGCTACATTGCTTATAAAATATCAAGAAAACAGTTTTGTTTCAACCAGACCAGTCACCCACTTAACCACACAGACGTGCAGGTTCTTGTGCAGGCAGAGTGTAGGGCAGGAATAAAGGCACTGAGGTGTGGGGAGAGGGCTGGAAGATTGTCTGCCAGACTGTACTGGGGCAAGTACAGGTGAGAAGAGCCCTTTAAACTGTTTTTTGCGAGTGAGGTCTCTATTTAATGTCAGGTACTTTTAAAAAATGTCAATATTTGGGGATTTCAAAATGTACATACAAGGGAAAGTAAATTGGGAGTGTGCTTTTTTAATTTTATTTTTTCTTTAAAAATGATTACTTTTTAAAAAGTAATCTTCATTTATACTTTATAAACTGAGTCGAATTATTAGGTTTCCAGGTTGACATCTGAGTAAGACTTTTATGTCTTACTGATGTCCTATGCACAAGTTCTAAATTGAATTGGTACTGAAGAGTAAAATCTTACAGCTTCAGCAGCTTGGAAACTAAGGAGGAAACATTCAAGTATTGAAGAGATAAGACAATGGTTATAATAGTATCCCAGTTTACTACAACTATCTGTTTGAAAGTCAGATTCTTACCTCATAGTCTAGAATAACCTGGGTGTTTGAAAAAGAAGCTTCATCATTCTGCTTTTTCTCTTCTCTTTCTCTTTCTTTTTTTTTGATCCCCTTCTTTAATGGAAGATGCCAGTGATGGTGGACGATCATATAGAACAGTTTTGGATCGCTGGAGAGAGTCACTTCTTTCTTCTACCAGCTTGTCCCAAGTCTTCCTTCATCTGTCTACGTTGGATCGAAGTGTCATCTGGTCAAAGTCCATCCTCAATGCTCGCTGTAAAGTGTGTCGGAAGAAAGGCGATGCAGAAAGCATGGTGCTGTGCGATGGCTGCGATCGCGGCTATCACACTTACTGTATCAGGCCCAAGCTGAAGGTATCTGAGGAAAAACAAGCCCTTGCTTTTTGCACAAAACTTCACCAGTTCTTACAACTTCATTGCAAATTACTGATGCTTGCTTTTTTTTTTTCCCCCTTTTCTGTTTCTAGGTCATTCCTGAAGGAGACTGGTTTTGTCCAGAGTGCCGACCAAAACAGCGCTCTAGACGCCTCTCCTCCAGACAGAGGCCTTCTGTGGAAAGTGATGAAGAGAGTACTGAGCAACTGGGAGAAGGGGAAGAGGAGGCAAACTATGATGAAATGGGACAAAGTGAGGAAGAGCATTATGAAGAAGAGCAAGATGAGGAGGATGAATCTCAAGAAGAAGAGGAGATAAGGTAAATAGACACCTGTTAAAGTGGTTTCCTACTTAAATACCATCTTGATTATTAGGTGGAATAATTGTTCACACAAGCTCATATGTTGAAAATACAGTCTGAAAAAGATGTTTATTTAAAAAATTCGCAGCCTGTTACGAATTTGGCTCTTACTGATGGTGTTGTTATTAACAAAAGTTAGGTCCAATGGACTTAGACTCACTTTTCAGGATGCAAATTCCAGCCTTGGATGTGTGGGTGAGAGATGGCGATCAGAGTTGCAGTTCTTTACAGCTAGTGTTTGAATATAAAGTGGAGAGAGTTTCAATCAGTAAGGATTTTCAGGAGAAAACCTGGAGTTGTTTTTGTCCCGTTATGAGTTTTGGGAGACTAGATGCATGCAATATGTATTGGAACATTAGGGAAGTCAAGGTCATCTGTCAGAGGCTATGTGGCATTGGGAGGACTTTAGGACTTAAAAAAAAAACCCAAAACCAACCAACCAAACCCACTCAAAACCAACCAGCTAAAAAAAAAAAAAACCAAGGCTAAACTACTAAATAATCCAATGTGATAATTTCAGTAAAGTGGTGGATTTGATACACATGCCAGAAGCATAAAAGTTGAAGTAAACTTCCTGATCTTGGGGTATTTTTCTTCTTTTTGGTACAGTCTTTTCAACTGACTAAAGAAAGATTATGTCCAGCTCTGATGGTTGGGATTCGATAGTTGGAGAGAACTTGCATCTGCTTAGGAAGTAAACTTGTCTCTGGGATCTTTCTTCTCTTCTGTAATGGAAAGAGAGTCTGAGTATTAGTTATAAACCCTGACTAGAGCACAACTTTTTTACTTAGTGTTTTAAAACTGCAGATTATTTATGTAGCTGATGATAACATTACAAATCCTAGTAGTTACAGCTGCTGTGAGAAATAAGTGATTTAAAGAAATTTATAGCTGGTGCTCCAGTTAATGCATTCACCTTGCACAAGCTGCAAGGGTGATCAGAATTCTGAGCATTTCTTCAAAGTGTGTGCTCCATGTACTATTTAATTAGGAGATTTTAGAGCAGTATTTAAGATAACAGTAATTGGATGACTGCATCAGCTTGACAGCCAGCTGCTTACCAGTCCAACCTTGAGTGATGGGGTTTTTTCAATGCCGAATTAGAAAACAGAAAGAGAGGAATGGAATTTTGGGATAAATAAACATAATTGTTCACTTTTTGTAGCCCATCAAAGCAAGGAAGACCCCAGGTCAAGCTTCCATTAAAAATGAGAGCAGCCAAACTCAACAATCCATTCTCAAGCCGGAACAGCCAACGTCAGGCAAGATACGCTTCTCGGAGTCAGCAAAACACACCTAAGGAAACTGACTCTTCATCCAGAGTTACCAGAAGGGGTTTAAGAAAGGTAAAATCAGCCCCTCCATCTGTGACAAAGCCTTCTTTAAGACTTAACAGCCGGACCACTCGTCAGAGCCAAAGTTCATTACAAGCAGATGTATTCGTGGAGTTACTCAGTCCTCGAAGACGACGAAGAGGAAGAAAGAGTGCTGATAACACACTGGAGAATGACCCTTCCAGCTCGCTCGGATTTAGAATTGTTGAAACTGCAGACTCAAATGAACGACTTAGGAAGTACCCAGTTTCTGCTTCAAAGCTTTCTCTTCCTGTTACTGAACCCAAGAGAAGAGGCAGGAAACGACAATCCACAGGTTAGAGAAGTGTGTTTGTCCAGAACAAAACCCATGCTCTGTTCCTTGCTAAAATATTTGTGGTTTAAAGTAAGGAGACTAGAAGTGGTGGTTGAAGGCATTGTTTTACCACTTCCAACGAGACAGTTCCCTTCTTTTGCAGTGACAGAAGTGAACCTAAAAAAAAAATAAATCAGTCACCTAAAGAACAAATACTTAATTTGCCAAGGAGGTTTATCATATGGATATTTGAAATTTCATATTTGCTCACAATATGGAGCAATTGCTAATAAGCAGATAGAAAATGTGAAAGTGATATTTTTGCCTTAAGCCATGCAAATGCAAAGGCTTACGTACATCTTTTATGTTTTATTAAAGAGTTAAACAGTGATGAACACAGATGTGGATGAGGTAGTGAAATTTGAAATATACATGTACAACAAGAAACCGCTATCAGAAGAAAAATGGCATCTGTCAGATATAAAGCTAACAGTGTCCTTGCTTGTTAAGCTAATACCAAGCATTTGATGGCAGGGAGATACTTGGAAACCTACAATAACCTTTTTAAAAACAAAAACGACCCAGTGTGAGACTGAAGAGTGTAGAAGAACTTTACACTCTAGTGTAGCAGCTTTATAGTCTGCACGATTTCTGTCCTTCGCCATTGGGAGTTTCTGGGCTTATCCTCTAACCACCCTGCTGACTACTCTTGAAAGCAGATAAAACTACTCTGAATAGAGGTTTTGTGGAAGTAAAAGTTATGAGTAGGCGGCTTATTCTGATTCTCTCTAATAGGGCTTTTCTTTAAGTGTTCAACAAATTGTTTTAAAATTGAAATAGGTGAAAAAAACCTTCCCAAAATTAATGAGATGAAGGAGAATGGAGGAGGAATCCCGCTAAGTCCTGGTACTTAGCATTTTGTACAGCAAGTGAGACATTTAGTGGTTAATAACAAAGCTGTAGTATAGTTAATACCTGAAGCTAAAGTACATGAGTTGTGCCCCAAAACTATAATTTCAGTACCCAAGAATAATGGCCTTTAATGTCTTTTCCTTTTTTTTTTAAAGAAAAAAAAAAAAAAAGTGTCAGGTTTTTATTTTTATCTGGTGGGGTGTTTTTTTTTTTTTCCAGAATCATCTCCTCAAACTTCACTGAACAGGAGAAGTTCAGGACGTCAAGGGGGAGTCCATGAACTCTCAGCTTTTGAACAACTTGTAGTGGAACTGGTACGACATGATGACAGCTGGCCTTTCATGAAACTGGTTTCCAAAATCCAGGTAACTGACAGAACTGCTGAGGGAATGATAGCGGCTGAGAATCCTGTTTGCTGTCAGTAAAAGTTGGGATTTTATAGCCTTGCCCACACGGGAATACAGCTAAGCAGTGGGGTTCAGGAGAACTCTGGCTTTTCAGCTCAAATATTTGGTGCCCTGCTTTGTGAGTCAGACAGTTCCCCTAAGCGTGGCGCTTAGTGGGAATCAGGACCTGTGACCCAGGTGGCCAGTGCCCTTAAGGTCAGGCAGTCCCTTCCTCCCCTCACTTCTATCAAACACTGTTCTGAGTGGCTGCTTATCTCTGGTACTTGCATACTGTGTCCTGCTTGCTACAGAAAGTTTCACTGCCTTCTCTTCAACATGACTACGTGTTATCTTGGGATTTCATTCCTCTTGCAAGACTGAAAGATGGTGAATAGTAGTGGAGTAAAAATGGTCATTACTCATTGTTAATGAGCATTTAATATTGTAATGTTACAGGAAAATGAAAGGTTTTTTTAAATCTTGGAAAGAATTTTTGTGCTTCACAGATGGGAATAGTTGGAACACTGTAATACGTATCTGCTCATGCAATTTTTCTACAGTTGTCTGCAGGCTATTTAGGATTAGATTTATTCATTGAATAGCTGGCTAATGTTTGTTGTGGTCTGCTACTTTAATGTTATAAAAAATGGAAAAGCAATACCTGAAAACTGATATTCAGTTCAGGACATGGAGGTAGCTGCTTGGGAATTCTCTGTTTATTTAAAAACAAAACCAAAATGCTTTTTGCTAATGCATGATTTGCTTAATTTTCACATGGGTAGAATTTTAAGCTTTCATTTGTTTGTCTTTGAATCTGTTGGTTTTGTTTTTTTGTTAAAGGTACCAGACTACTATGATATCATCAAAAAACCTATTGCCTTAAATATAATCCGTGAAAAAGTGAATAAATGTGAATATAAGTTAGCATGTAAGTATATTCATTGAAAGAGGTAATCAACCCTGTTCTGTCTCTGTAAAATAAATTCTTGTCCTAAAATAGAGCTGTGTCAGAGGATTAGAAAGCTGAAATTGTTTGGTTTGGGGTTTTGTGGTGGTTTTTGTTTTGTTGTGGTTTTTTTTAAAGAGTATTTACTAATATTTGTTGAACATAGTTCTTTTACTAGCAACATACATGATGTATAGATAGATAAGCAAGCAGCTGAGAAACTGCTGGTAATTCTCAAGCCTTTGATGTCAGTGAGTGACACTGATGAAATATTTAGAAAAGGTACTGTTGTTACTGCTAGATTTGTATTTCCTTTATTGATAATCAGAGAAATTTAAGGATGTTTACATGACACTTCACTAATACAATGACAGAAACTTGACACATATGTAAAGACAGTTTGTGTTGCAGCTCTGTGTAGGATCGCTGTACTAGTTCACTGGTGCCATACTCCTTTATCATACTGCTCTCTGGTGACTTGAGACGTGCTAAATTAATGTATTGACTTTTTATTTACTAGCGGAATTCATTGAAGACATTGAGCTGATGTTTTCGAACTGCTTTGAGTACAACCCTCGTAACACAAGTGAAGCAAAAGCTGGAACTAGACTTCAAGCTTTCTTCCACATTCAGGCTCAAAAGCTTGGACTTCCAGTCACATCTGGTAATGTGGACCACGCCGCTCCCGCGGCAAAGAAGTCACGAATCTAACCTCTGCCTTCCAAAGGATTTTTGAGGGAATCTGTTAACATTCAATAAAATGAAATGTTAAATCACGCAGTCGTCATACCTGTATAAAGCAATAACAACTGTTTAACCACCTTGAAGTGTGGCCTGCACTATATTCTCAATGTAATATTAAGCACTCAGGAGAACGTAGGAAAGATTACCTTTGCTACAGTTTTATTCAGTGTCTAATAATTTTGATAGATGTACTGGATACAGTACTGGTTTACAGAGGTTTTGTACATTTTTAATACATTCATGTGTCCAAATATCTTCCAGAAGTACATTGTTTTTTCCTGCACCAAATGACCTTGTTTCATCCTCTAGATTTTGTAGGAGCTGTGGTATTGAGGGCTTTATCAACTCAGATAAAATCTTCTGCTGTAGCACAGTTGAAGAAACTGTGTGTATGTTTAAAACTTGTTTGAGCATATCTTCTCAACACTACACATGAATGAGTACAACTGCATATCTTTTAAGTACTGTACCAGTGCTGGCTGGAGGTATTCAGTCTGAGTTTATTAAGTAGATATTTATTTAGCATTCAAAGTAATTTGTGAATTTGTTTTGTATTTATAAAATTTGTACTTGGGGATTAAAAACAAAAACAAAAAAAAAGGAGAGAATTCCATAACTTTTTAAATTCTTTTCCGGTGGGTTTTTTTTTGTTTGTTTATTCCCCTCTAACTTGATGATCAATCAATAAAAACCTCCTCATGTCCCTGGCAGTTCTAGCAATGAGTAAATTTACAGGACTGTACTATAAGTTTCTACGTACAACTTTGGAAGTGTACAAATAAAATGACACATTTTTCAAAGTCTTTTGAGCTTCTGGCATTTCCTTGTGAGTTTTACTGCTGCACCATCTTCCCCATCAACTTAGTAGGACAAGGTGCTGGATAGAAAACAGAATTTGGTTTCAGTGCAAGTACCCCAGCCAGCATTTTTGGCAGCTGCAGCCAGTGTCACACCTGGTTTCAAAGTGATGCAAATGTTCATCAGTATGTAAGGAGTAACGCAAGAAGTATGTGTATATGTTGTATGGTTCTTTAATTAGGATTTTATTCTAACACTGTAAAACCTCCTAGCTTCGTTTAGCTGACCAGCAGCTTCTTTAAACTATCCTGACCATCCTTGGTAAGTTTACTTTTGGTATTTATTAACTTAAATGTCTTAAACTTTGTTTGAGTCAATAGCTTTAAAACCCCTTTAAAACCAGTTTTGCCTACCTGGAGGTATGCCCTACTCTGAGAAAACAGTATGGAGCAGAAATTTGGGGGTAGGAGTGAAGAGGGTAGGAACAGCTGAAACACGAGGTTTGCTGCTGCAGTGACTTTTCTCCCCGTGTTTGTGGCAGCTTATGTTGCAGCGTTAAGAGCTGCGTGTGGCACCGACCTGCACAGTTACTTGCTAGGGTGTTGTGGGTTTTCTCTGCTGCTGTAGTGCTTACCTTGCCTTAGAGGGGGCAAGAATGGGTGTTCCCCTGAGCCTAGGAAACAGAGGGCAATAGATAGGAGACCGATCAGTTTAAAGGGTTGGATTTTGGGGTTTGTGGGTTGTTTTGGGGTTGTTTGTTTTTTTTTTTTTAAAAAAAAGTCTAAGAATGAGAATGGTGAGGGATATTGTTTAGAAATGTCTGTTAATGCAGGAGTTTCTTTGCAAGCTTTTCCTTGGTCAGAGCTGACATCTCTGTCCTGTCCAGATCAAAGATGCATTTCTTGTTCCCACCACAAAGAATGATAAATACCATAAGGAATGTGAGCAGCAGAAGACTTTTTTGCAGGGTGTAGGTTGTACTTGATGTTCCTACATCTGTCTAGTCCCAAGAGGATGTGAGCATCCTCATGAGCAGGTTGCACAAACAGTTGTGCAAGTTCTTGTTCACATGAGTAGTCTCCATTGACTTAAATGTGAATACTGTGTCGGGGCACCATGGTGAGCTGAACAAGTCCATCTGTGGCAGATGCAATTTAAATTGTTACTGTCCCCAACCTACTCCCAGCCCTTCATTCCTGTCACTCTTTCTCCAAAGTTATTTCCTTCAATAGCTTCCCTTCTGCAATGAAACTGTAATTTTGAGTTTGTGTGGAGCAGGTGGGAACAGTTTAACCCAAATCTGTGCTTGTGATGGTGGTGTTTGAATGTTTGTGTTCTGAGTTAAGTTTGCAAGCCTAAGGCCTCAGGTACACATCCAGAAGGTGACATATAGAAAAGTGCCCACTTCTCCTTTGAGCAGCTGTGCTTAAAATATTCCTGTATGCTGCGTGTGCAGTCCAGACCTGACTGCCCTTGGCTTTAGGGGTGCTCATGGAACGCACCTTTTGTCATCTTGCTGCTTGTTGTGTGTTCAGGCACAGAGCATGAACCAGGCCCTCTGTTTCTGGCAGGAGGCTCCTGTGCTGGTGCTTTTGTTGCAGCTTTTTTGGGCTTCAGCTATGCTTCTTTCTGAGTTACGTCTAGAAGTTTCTTTGTGGCTGTTTGTTTCCCCCTACATGCACCCCTTTGGTAAAAGGGGAATTGCTTCATGTCTCCCTCCTTGTCTTTTAAGGGCCGAGATATTCATGCTCCTTGTCCACCTTTCCTCTCAAACAGCCCCACGTCTCGCTGCAAGCAGCCATCCCATGTGCTGTTACTGCCAGGGGAAGGGAGGTGCAATATCTGCAGGGGGCTCCAAGCCAGCGTTTCACAAAGGTGCAGAAATGGATGTGGTCAACGGCTTCATCTCAGATTGAGAGGCCCTGACTAATCAGGCTTTACCAGACTCTTCAGGAAAACAGGCGGTAGATTTCCTTGAGCTCCAAGTCCAGCTCCTGTCCAAGCAGGATTTTTAAAAGATCCAGTAGTGAAAGTCTTTCCCTTCGTGGTAGCTCCAGTATATTTTAGCCCTGGCAGGTATCCAAAGGCTGCTATACCAGCTGTTTTTCCTGCTGTGAAAATTCTGCCCCTCTTCCCTTCTCCCACCCGTTTCATTGATGACAGAGCTAAGAATTACTGACTGACCAAGGACACTACGCAATTTCTTCCAGTGCTTTTTGTACATAACTCTCATAACCTTGGGGCCAGTTCCTTTAGAGGAATTGGGCTCCAACCCAAAGGACTGTCTTCCAGGAAATCTCAGCGTTTCTTGAAAGACAACTTGCTCACCTCCTGGCCACCACAGATTGCCAAAGATGAAGACAAATCTCTACAGTGGCTGCTGTTACTGGAAGCTGCCTTTCCTACCCAAGCAGGACCAGGTCCGAAGGAGAAGGCCTGTTCTCAGAAATGCTGGATGCAGCCTTGTGTGGTGGTTGCAGTCAATACTGCAATGCTGAGGGGTCTGCTAGCAGCATCAGTGTAGTGAAGTTGTTGTGCCAGGTACCTTCACCTGTATTAGGACGCGGGTGACCACCTTGACTGGTCTGTCCAGTGTCAGATTCACCTGCTGGAAGTTTAACTGCTGGTAAACCTTTAACAATGCTGGAAAGCTGGAGCTGCTTCGGTCTGGCAGACCGTGTGAGACATGAACCAGCACTCTTCATTGTGAAGGGTTTGGGCTGGGACCACCATCCCTGCATCCAGTGTTGGATGGCTCTTCTGTGGAGGGTGAGGTTCTAAGTATTGTAGGAGAGAATGCATAAATGTTAGTATTAATAGTAAGGGAAGATGACTTTAGCATAATCTTAGCAAATATGGGCATTAGAAACCAGCAAGAAGCAGCCGAAAACCAGCCTGACCTTGCATGCATTACAGGGAGGTAGAGGTTGCCTGACCCTGAACAGCCCACCTCGATGCAGTCACCAGCTGCCATCTGCCCCCCAACCAGCCATCTCTGAAACTCTCCTAGTCCAGAAGTGGAGATTCTGTGATGGACGTGTGCAGGGAGCAGATTCCTGCGGATGCCAGAGTCCTGCCTAACATCATGTTGCTGCTGGACTGGTAATCCTGTACTGTAGGATTTAGGATATTGCACGTGTGGTTTATGACTTCTGAATCATTGATGTAACCACTGAATTAACCCTTACCCTGCAACAATCTTGTCTCTTCTAAGTTTCATCTGTTTGTATTCAAATAAGTAATATCTAACACTGGTCACGTGGCCTAGTGAAGATCACTGTCATAACTGGTTGCAACAATTCAGCTAACACTTCTTGAGGCTACCAAGGACTATTTCTGCTCTGCAAGAGCCTTCTCACTCTAAAAAAATTGCCAGTGTCCAGATGACTGCAGATGATTTGCTTTCTGTGTGGCACTCATCTCAGCAGCCATAATTCTAGAAGATCTCTCCCCTGCTAAACTGCTGCCTTGATCTTTACAATCGCAACTTCTTGGTCTAGTTCTGCAGAGATGCTCCTTGTGCTTTACCCAGCTTGCTGTAAGGAGATACTCTGAGGTTTCTCAGCCTGCTACCATTGGACCAATGGATGTCTTCTTCATCCCACCCTTCATCAGCAACCCACTTCCCTTGATTTGGTGCTTCCTTAAAACAGGGCTCTCTTAAAACCTTGCCTTTAAGTGCTTGATTGTATATATGTCTGATACCAGACTGGGATAACAACCCCTCTTGAAGAATCCCCAGTTATGACCAATAAGGAAGTTTCCCATTTTGAGGCAGTCAGGTTTGAAGATCTTTGGATTAAGTCAAATGCAAAAGGTAAAATGACTGTGCTGCAAATCAGAAAAATTACCACGACGGGTAAGTAAAGCTGTCAGCTTGTTTCCCATCTGTTCCCTAATAGGGATGCTGAAGTAGCACCAGCCCTAAAATTCATCTGTGTATTTGTGGATGTATGTGGGGGTACTTCTGTAAAGTTTTGTAATTTTAACTGCTGTAAGGCACTGACTATTAAAATAATGGTTATCATTCCTGAATGTTATACTTCTATGTTTTTAAAAGGTACATCTCCACTAGCTGGGAAAGTGCCAGTAAAACTGTGATTTACTCAGACTGTGAGTAGTGCTGGGAGCAAAGTCCAGCTTCCTCCTGCCGCCCCCAGCTCCCAGCAGCATCCACTCATCTGAGCTTCAGTGACAATGTGTGGCTGGGTCTGCATTTAAATTTGGTTTTATTTTTTTAAGTAATCAAATCTGAGCTGCTGTTGGTGAAACACTCCACCCTTGGCCACACACCTGCAGTTGCATTCTGGCAAACTTAATTTTACAAGGGCAGGTAGTGATAGAACAAGGGGTAATGGCTCTAAACTGGAAGAGGGTAGGTTTAGGTTACATATTAGAAAGAAAGTCTTAACAGTGAGGGTGGTCAGACACTGGCACAGGTTGCCCAGAGAAGCTGTGGATGCCCCCTCCCTGGAAGTGTTTAAGGCCAGGTTGGATGAGGCTTTGAGCAACCTGGTCTAGTGGAAGGTGTCCCTGCCATGGCAGGGGGGTTGGAACTAGATGATCTTTAAGGTCCCTTCCAACCCAAACCATTCTGTGATTCTATGATAATTTTCCAAACCAATTCTTTTAAATATTTGGAGTGCATTAAAATGCTAAACATCAATATGAACTACACCTGAAATGTTTTCAGTGGCAGAAGGCTACTTATGTTTTCTAAAGAGTGCACTGAGGCCAGCTTTGGGTTTGTAGTGCTTCTTTTCTGGAAAATTGCTGAAACAATTTTTTTAAAAATTTATTTTAGGTGCAACTCCACCGTTAAAATTTTTTAGATATGAAAGAAGAAGGAAAAAAAAAAAAAAATGTTTTCTGGGCCTCCAAACACAGGAGCATTTCAGCCATTGCCTTGCGGGAGGCTCTGGGTATGGCAGGAGGCTGGCCGGGGCTGGGGGTGTTTGGCCCCATGTGAGAGCCCCTCACCCTTGCCCGCAGCGAGCTCCGGCG